AGTCTGTAACTCAATAGGCTACAGGTCTTACCAGTAATCAGGAAAGTGATTCCATGTGGATTAACAGCAGCATCTCCTATTTGACCAAACTGCAGCAGGGCCTCTCTGTGGATGAGCTGAGTCTCCGTGTGACCCTCTTCATTCTTAAACACGTGTTCATCAGTGAACTGACAGGGCAGCCATGACACTGGATGGACACACTGCACACCTGAGAGACACAGAGGGAGTCAGTGTAGTTTACAAAGATATAGTACAGTATAATGTAGTGGTATAAGGCTTGGGGAGTAAGGAAGTTCATGTAACAGGATTTATGAATCAGGAAACGAAAAAAGGTCAATATTCCCTTAAAGTTACATAAGTAAAAGACGTAATCAGATTACTGTTACATTTAAAACAATTGGGGATTATTAGCAAGACTACAAGGTTACAATACATTTTTTAAATGAAGAAACAACATATCATTTTTTAGACTTCACGAGAACAACACCAAGAGGCACACGTCTCGATAGAGCCTATTGTATTAAACAAAAACAAAGCATTTCCTATTTGCTAAGGTTTTTATTTATGCCTTTTAAACTGTAGTATGTGTTCATGTGTTTGATTGTTTGTCTATAGCCTGAATTCGTTGGAGGAAAGCTTTAAAGAATCGCTGTGCAGAGGGAAAAAAATGTAAACAAAGTATCTTGGTTTCTTCCTTTTTAAGTTGACATTGTTCTGTTGTCTTACATAATACATTTTTTTTCTTTTCTCATCTTTATTTGCATTGCATTAGATATTAAGGTAATCCAAAAGTATGTTTTATTGTGATCTTTAGAATAGGGTAGGCTACAGATTCCTTTCCAGAATTTTGAGTAGTAGGCCTATATTGCAGAATAACAAAGTTAAATACAGCGTAGTATAATATAGGATTCTGAAAATGGTGCCTTTTGCATAGAATATTACAGTACACTTTAGTTAGTGTTTAAAATCGTATACACATTATTTAATTATAGTACATTATAGTACAAAATAATAAACTATAATGAAGAGTAGTATAGTGTAGCACAGTAGTATAACACATTTAAGTATAGTACAGTGTTGAACAGTAGAGTGCAAAAAAGTACAATTTGTGCAATTAACCATTACGATACAAACTCAGAACAGACAGAAAGTATTATTCACTTGGGCTAAACAATTTGATATACGTCAACTCTTTTTTTTTCTGGGGTCTAAAAGTCAGATATATCTAGAAGTTAAAATGCAAGCTGAGTCATTTTTCTACATTTAACTGAAATGTGCTCACCACCTCCCAGGATGCAAATTGCCCTCACCTGAGACAACGGCCTGTTAACAGGTTTAACCAGGGATTTTTTGTCTTTGCAGTCCAAAGCATCCAAACTAAAGTTCAATATTGAAAGCTTGAAATTAGGTTTAACCTTAGCAGAATTTATTTACAACAATTCGCAACAACAGAGTTCAACAGAAGAACGCTTTTAAAGCTATACTCGTTTTTTAGGCAGTGAAAAAGTCAGATTTATCCAGAAGTCCAAATATACTTGTTGTAGAGTACATCATAGGAGAGTATAGTAGAGTAGAAGAGTGTATAGCACAGTTTAGTTTACTGATAGTATTATATATATAGTATTGTGTAATATAGTAAAATACAATAGTAGGCTACAGTGCAGTACTTAGGAGTAGTAACTTCATTCATGATTTATGGGCTAATTCACAAGCCAAAATATGTACAAAAGCTAAAGAAAATAACTTACCTGCACCAAGATACAAGAAACTAAGTATTTTTAAGATGAAATACATGATCATCTATTGGTAGAACTATATACTTGCTGCTCGAGCCCAACAACGACTTCTCTACGGTTGAAAATTGACTTTCACTTTCATTTCACTGGGAATATTTCTTGTTTTGCCTGCCTCTTAGACATCACGTGATTGAATGTCACTGAGAAGACATTTTCTGATGTTTAAGTGGGTGCATTTATGTTGAAGACACACATAAATCGCTAACGTCCATATTACAGCTAATTCTGCTATGACTTATTATTATTGATCAGGTTTCGTTTTTACACCGCGCCACACTTGCAGTACCGGCCTCCTCCTGCGATGTCGCTGTGAAGATGTCTGAACTCTGCGGGTCCCTCTTTATGTCATCACACGTTGATGTGACCAGCGGAAGCGCTTGATACAAAACTGTTGACATGCTTCTAAAATCGTGTGAAAAACGAATTATATTAGCAGACTTTATCTGTTTGTTATGCTCTACTCCGGTATAATGTGCAGAACTGGTGGTTTTGAGAAATAAATACTGACCGCCTGTTGTGGTACAGCTCATAAATGGGCATTGAAATACCAAACTAAATTAGCACAATAGCTAACCTGCTAACTAACTTCGGCAGTTATGGCATTGATGGACAAAGGTAATGTACACCTTTTGTAAAATATAGACATACACAAATGTATTAAATATTGTAAATGTGACACTGCAGTTTATTCAAAGTCTTTAAAGCTTCACTCATTATCATCATATGAAACGCAATGTGCAGAAAATAAAGGGAAATACAGTATGTTCTTTCAGAAAATTGTCTTACATTTTGCTATTAATAATGCGACATATGCAAAGCCTAATTGCAAATATTTTAAAATAAATGGTTAATCATTTAATATAAACATCTTCCAACGCCTTCCAAAATATGTTAAGAAATATTTTATCATGTTCTATATTTTGATAGAAGTTATCTTTAACGTGTATTGTTCTACATCAGAAATGCAATATTTGAATAATGGATTAGTCAAATTACAGATAATTAAGTAAGGGATAATGTTATTGACCCTATCCCTTTTCTAGTATAATAATGCAGCTGCTTTAATTTGTCATTTGATATTAAACTGAATATCTTTGGATAATTAAGATCAAACGCTAAACAATAATAAAATCCATGCAGCTAGCTTGGGCTCTTATTTGTTGGTCAAACAACTGAGACCAGATTATCTTCCTTCTGGGAGCTAACATCCAGTGTCAGAATTGGATGTGTACTTGTGAAAGATTGTATTTTTTAATTAGTATTGACGCTTGCTTTCTTGTGCTTTCAGATTCTGCGGTTCTTCAGGGTGCTTTCCTCCTGGCTGATAAACTGTCTCTCCCCTCCTCCCTGTCCTCCCTTCAGAAGGCTGACTGGAGCAGGGTGGGCCATCTGGTCCTGGAAGCAGTGAGGGAAATCTGTGGACAGGAAGAACTCGGTGTTCACCTCCCTGCAGCAGCTGTGAGCTGTATAAAGAAATTAGTTTGTGTTGTTTGGCTGAAGGTGTTCTGCAGGGAGGCTGTAACGGACGTAGAGCTGTCCTGGAGGGAGAACCCTTTCTTCCCCCTCCAGAACGGCCTCCCCGAAGTCAACTATGTTGTCCTGCTGGAAGTGGTGAGGGCGTTAGCAGCTGCTCCGATATTTGCCCGTTTCCTCTTGCATCTTCCCCAGTCTCAGATCGCTACTGAGCTTGAAAGGTTGGTGCAACACGTGAGGAGCGGCCCCACTAGAGAGGAAGATGTTCGATTTCTCCTGGAGGTATGGTGGGAACTGTGGAAAGGGCAAGATGAGCAGAAAGAGGAAGGAGAGGATAGCATAGAGAAAATGTTTGCCGGACAGTTTGCTCGGCTCTCGTCTAAATCTTCCAGTCTTTCCCCTCAGGCTGCCAAGAGGCTCAAGCTAGACGCTTCAGATCTACCTGCATCACCGCCAACCGCTGATGTCGTAAACATCCTCCTTCATGCACTTAAAGACATAAAAGATAAGATATCTAGAACAGATCTCTGCCTCCAGGCTCTTTCCATTGCTCTAGATACTCTTTACACGGCATTCCTAATAGACGGAGCGGTCGGACTTCCTGCGATAGAGAAGATGCATATCCTGTCAAAAGTGGTCCGCATCAGAGAACAGAATGGCGAGAAACTGACTCCTGAACTTTTAAAGGAGGCTCTGAGAGACCTACATGCGTCTCGCACACCATCTCAGTTTGAACCCACCGGGATAAAGCTTGGTGAAGCCTCGAAGATTATAACAGATCTGGCTCAGTTCTGGCAAAGCAATGGGCTTCTGGGCACCTCTGAATCTAGCGGCTCAGCATTTAAACTAGAACAAAGTGTCCAGAGAGTCCTGACGGCTCTACAGGAAGCCGAAGCGCCTGAAACTACGAATGAAATAGACCTTCAGAAGTCTGAGAAAAACAGCCTCAGAGGTTTCCTGGAGTCACTATCTTTCTCCGCCGCAGAGAGCACCCCTGAGCTGAACGCCCGGATTACAGCAGTCATCATCAAACACCGTCTGGACGACTACCAGACCTTCGCAGAGTTATTTGCCAGTGAGAAGAGTTGGGCCGCCCAAGATGAGCTCTGGTTCGACTGCCTGGAGAAGAACCAGGCAGCCTTCCAGCGGCAGGAAACGCTGATCAATCTGACCTCCACCATCATGAGTAAACTCTACAGTGAGGGCTCCAACGTGAGCCAGTGCAGGAAGCTGATGAAAGTGGTCGTGGACATTTTCTCAGCACTTTCACTAGAAGACAAGAACAAAGCGTTGGCTGCCATGCTGAGACTGTCCAGCCGGGGCTTCTTTGGCGGCTCCGTCCCCTCCGCGGTGACCGTCGCGTTCGAACAGGAGCTTAACATGGCCTTCAACTGCATCATCCAAGGGAGGGGCGGAGCGTCGGCAGCAGCGTCGCAGGCCAATCTCAACACAGCAGTGTCTTTGGTAGCGAGAGTCGTGTTCCAGAACCCTGAAGCCGGTTTGAGGTCTTGTTGTCATTCCGCTGTGTTCAATAAAGGTGCTTTCACTCTGATGGCCAAGATCCTGCAGCAGCTGCCAGGACTCAGAGGACCGAGGGGAAGAGAAGATGAACTACAAAACGATGAAGACGCAAGCAAAAAGGCAGAAGAAGAAGAAGACACTCAGAGTGGGAGCGCTCTGCTCTGCAGGTGTCTACAGGAGATGACGAAGACCAAATCGTTGTCAGCCAATGAGAGAGAGCAGCTGCTCAAGTTTCTGGGTCTGCTGATGATGCCTGTCATGGCAGCTGAGGGAGAAGAAGAAAAGATGGAAAGCTTTTTGACACCTCAGGAGGTCGTGAATGTCTTCGTCCTGCCTAACCTCTCCACCACAGGTGAGAGTTTTGTCCTATTTATAATGCTTTTAAACAAATCTGTTTTCCAGGGTTAGGGTTAATCATAGTGTAAGAATCTTTAAAACAATATACTTTTTTGTACATGAATGAGCAAATTCAACAAATCACCTCCCAGCCCCGTCCCCTTCTTAAACCTCAGCATTGACACAAAAAACAACACTTAAGATTGTTGAGGTATACTCAGTGTTTCCCCTAGGATGGAGTCATAGCAGCGGTGCTAAGGCACGCGGGCCCAGCAAAATGTGAGCGCGGCGCGCGTGGACATTTTAAGTGTGTGCGCGTGCGAAGTGCTTCCCGCCATTATGTTTCTATTTGTCTGCCAGCACAAGAAAGACACATACATCATTAAAGGCTTCAAATGTATTCAGTATTGTATGAACATAATTGGTGGTTGGACATCACATCCTCTAGGGGGGTCCGGGGGTATGCCCCCCCGGGAAGATTTGTTTTTACATTTTAATATAAAATGCTTCAATCTGGTGCACTTTTAGCACACAATGACTAGAGACTAGATCTAACTCTAAACACCCATATGAAAAAGATCGTTTTACATTTTAATAATCAAATAATTGAACATACCAATAAACTACCATAGCCAATAACACATATGTAACTTATTTTATTTTTGTTGTTCATTTACATCACTTTCATCAGGCAATTTTTTAGTTTAATATCAGGTGTCAAAAGAGCATGGCACCTAGTAATGAATGTGCCAAATGTCTCCACTTCGTTCCACTGCCCCAGTGACTTGAATATCTTG